TTGTATAAGAGTTGGGAGAGTTTTGATAGTAATTTAAGTTTTCACAAATTATGGAATCTTCATATTTATTATTAAAAAAAAAAAGACATACAACTTAAAAAATCAAATTTGTATATCTTAACAAAATTTCAACTTTAAATCAATCATCAAACAAGAAAGTTTTCTTTTACCGCATATAGTTAATTATCATATTTTCCAATTGCTAAGTGCATTTACAATATAACCATTACTATGTATAAAAAAGAAACTTTGGACTATCTTTTCTAGGTCTTTTGACCAATGAGACCTACCAACTTAAAAATGATGAACGCTAGCTATGTTGCTCAGACTTTTTTAATACTAGTAAAGGCGTATACTAGCCATGATTCCAGAAGCATGAGAATTGAGAAAAATAATTTGCCTTGACAATTCCGTTGTCTTGTGTTTTTTCATGATTCGTTTTTATTTCTAATATACTAGTAAAGGTCTGGTCTCCCTCAATGGGTAATTACTAAACTCTAGTCTTTCCCTATAAACACGCAACTTCCCCTGCATGGTTTCATTTCCTTTGTTTTCTATCATAAGGTAAATATGTCACTTCAAAATTCAAATTAACCACAACCAAAAGAGTACTTTTGTAATTCAAAAGGGACATAATGTTTGAGATTCTGGGGGATGGGGGCTTCGACGTGCTCTTGCTTCTTAACAAAGTACCTACTTCTTATGTCGATTTCAATAGTTTAATTCTGAATTCACATGAAAAATATATTTGAAAACTACGTTAGAAATACTAAAAGTAATAATAATTGATAATTTAAAATATTTTTAAAAAAAAATTATGCTTAAATAAAAACTTGTTTCACTCTTGAAATTCAAACCAAATATAAATTGAAACGAGAAGAACAGTCGGTTGGAGTTTAGATGTTTCTAATTGTAAAAGTTACGTACTAATTAATTTGGTAGCAGTGAAATAATATGATAGAACTAATGGACTATATAGTATGTAGCTTGAATTCAAAAATGCTTCTGACACCCTCGCATGCAAAAATTGTGCAACATATATAGTTACCGTCCATTCGGTCTCATTTATCAATTTAGTTAACTTCCAAAACTAAAAAGCTTATAGAAGATCTAATTTATACGGCTGTGTTTCAATTTGATTGATCTTCTTTTTATTTTATTGGTGTCTGGTACCCACTATATATTTAAGAAAATAAAAAACACTTCAGAATTTTATGATTTTAAATAAAAAATATGTTAAATATCTTTTAATTGTATGGTATTAAACATTACGTAGAAAGTTGAAATTAAAGAATTATTAAAAAGAAAATAAATTATTTTTTTCTAAAGAAACTAAAAAATAATGTGTATCAATCAAATTGAAATGGAATAGTTTTTTACAAATTTATAAAATGGTTAACAAAAGCACATGTTTGAAATATTGGTGAATAGACAATAGTAAATACTAGTATACGTTTTATGGCTATATAAGCTAACATCTTCCCCTGTCCCTTCTAAAGAAGAGTAGCAAAACATGAGTGCAAGAAACTTTATTTCAACAGCTCAATTATTAGTATTACTCATCTTCTTTATCTCCTCATTCTTCCATGTAAATGGCTTAACTTCATCTGTCAAAAATGGCAGAGAAGCCATAGAAGTCATAATTGGTGGAGGAGGAGATGTCCCTCCCATTGCTCCTGCTTATCCTCCATATTCATATTCACCTCCTCCACAAGAACCACTTTGCCCTCTTCCTCCCCCTCCTCCACAACCACTTTGTCCCCCTCC